TTAGCAACATTTGTTGTTCATGTCCATTGGAATGGAGTTGCTGAGCTAGCTACAGGCAGCAGGAGAGGTGTCTTTGAAGTAGCATCATCATTATTAAAGCAAACAGATTTGCTTTTTATATTATTTAGTTTTGTGAAATTTTTTTTAAGTATCCGATAAGACTTGGAGCAGAAAAAATGGTCTCAGCAGATATTAGGGCCCCATGTTTAGTGACAGTGACTGAAATACTAAAAGTGCATTTTCAAAAACTTACACAGCAAGGCAACTGCAGTGTAAAGAGCTCCACTTTTTCACCAGCAGCACACCTTTACTGCAGCTGGAAAAAGGTAACAGACACCTTTTGTGCTGATGAGGTAGTTCAGCTCCTCTCTTCACTACTTATCCTATTTGCTGGTTACTAACCAGTATGCCAGTTATCTGTGTATTTCTGATATAAGCAATTTTCTGCTATAGGCAATGTGGACAGAGAGCTAATTTCCCTAACCAACTAAGATTGACTGCTTCCAGAACTTCCAATCACTGCTGAGATGGGCTGGATTTTGAAGTGACCTTGAAATAAGATTTTTCTGCTCTTCACAAGTCTTCAGAATAAGCCAGCAGTTCTCTGCTTGAAACCACAAAACATGTTCTCTCTCTTACACACCATGTTGTGTATCTCAAAACACACACTTAAAAACCATATATTTTGCAACCCAAAGTATTACTAGCACTTTGGGAAGCAGCAATTCTAGTACCTCAAAGGCTCATCTTTTATACGATGGCAGGAAAAAGCTGGTTTGAATTCCCTCGAGCATAGCATATAGGCAAAACTTTCATTTTTACACCTTTCATTGCCTCTATCCGCAGTAGACATATATCTTGCATAATCTTCAGAAAGCTTCACTATTTAAATTATTTTTGTATTTTCCACTGTTGTTTTCAGACTCTATTGAGATGTTGATCGTATATACAGGTCCATGTGTCGCTCTCATGGAGGCATTCTGCTGGGTTTCAGTTCAGTGAAGTTTCAAGTCATTCAAAACGTTTTCTGTTTCAGCAGTTCTTTCTGTTGAGTATTTAGATGAATTCTTTTCATATAAACATGTATGCAAGAGCTGGTCATGGTCTATGTCCAGATTATTATCTGATAGGGTGGAATGTTTCCAGTCTTCTCTTTTGAAACAGTAGGGACAGTGAAGAGCAGGTAGGTAGACTGTGCTGTCTTGTGGCAGTTCCTCTGTCTTTTATAAGCATCTCTAGTATGATTTTTGTGGATTGAAGTAGATCAAGGTGGCAAATAATTCTTTAATATTACTGCTGTATGTACTACAAATTGGAGTCTGGTTTTTGCCTGCCAAGTCTCCTAAAACCTCTGTATTTTGTCCTAGGAGAGGTTGGATACAACCATTGTGACACTGAGGAGCTGCATGCTCTCCTCATCTGAAATGCTGGGGTTTTAACCCCAAGCCCCAAATTAAGGTTGACATATGGGTGATTCCCAGAGCCCTTCACAAAGGGGTGGTGAGTTTGCCTTTAGGCTTCCCTCTAGGGTGTGGCTGGCCTTGCAGGGAGAGCCATTGGGTAAATGAGCCCCAGGTGTCCCAAATTAAGTAAACAAAGGTCAGGTGTCCCACTTAGGGATGGGGGCTGGGACCACCTGCAGGAAGGGGCAGTGTCTGTCTGTGAGGTGGATGCACTTTGCAGAGTTTCCTGATGGGGAAGGACCTCCTGCCTCCCTGGGACTGGGCTCCAGTCAGGTCTGGCTTTTGTAAACATGGGCTGTGTAGAGATGCAGTTTGTGGCTTTCTTGGTCTTATGTATTTGGTTTGTTGACTCAGTTGTCTCCTGTCTCTTCTATGGGAGACTGCATTTCACCGTTTATTCCACCCACTGTTGGTTGTGCAGTGTTGTTGTTGGGGTCATTGGGATTGATGTCATTTATGTACAATCTGACTGACTTGACCCCCAGCACTCACCCATGTACCGACCCTTTTGTATCAAATACAATTTGGTTATTAGTTCATCTTTATGCTGGCTGTGTCCTTTATGCTAGGCCTAATAATTGGCAAAACATCATCACTTAAACCAAAGCAACACCAGGATGCTCTTTTCCAACACTGTCAGGAAGCTCACCCTTAGCAGGAAACAGGATGGTGTGAGGCTAAGTCTAGTTTTAAAGTGAAAAACTCCATCCTGAATATTTGTCTCTAATAGTATCCTGCCACTTTTAAAAAAGCAGGATATGTAAAATAAATGGAGTGATAGTAAAAACAGACTTAAAATGACGAGGGAGACTTAATATCTGCAAGAACAAGAGGTTTTATATCTCCGAATCAGACTGTGATGATACGTACAATATAAAAGAGAGTGAAGTAAGAATATAAAAGTGAAGCTATTACTTCAAAAATCTCTATAAAAGCTGGTTGTGATCCTGCAGAACTGAGGGTGCTCTCTAAAACTGATGAATTATGATGCAAGTGTAAGTATGGATTAAATATTGTGCAATATTAATATTGGGATACAAAGAATGATAGCTAGGTTAGTTGGTATGCAATCCCAAAAATTGCTAAACTTGAGAAGTAATATGTTATTCTAAAACTTCTTAATCTGGCACAGAATTCCTTACAGTTATGCTGTGTACATGAAAAAAAAAAATACTGTTACAAGCATTAAAAACTCAGAATCTCTATTAAAAATCATGCTGCTTCAGTTAGTTTATTAGCCTAGTATCTAGAGTGGATTAATTTGGACTGAAGACTTTTCTGTTTCTAAAATATTTAGTGGCTTTCTAAGCAAAAGTATTGTAATTGAAAATACAATGTATATCATTAACTTTGTCCATATTTTATACATGAAAATTAAGAAGGAGGTTCTTGAATATTTTGATAGGGTTTTCTTTTTTATCTACTTACAGCTGTAATAACAGACTTTAGATACTGTGAAAGACATGTACAAAAAGGGAGCAATCTCTTCCCCATGTTCATAATTGATAGGAAAAGAATAATACATTTGAATTGCAACATAGGTGCATATTCAGGGTGAATATTATGAAGAAAACTGTTTCCTGCTTGTGATAATGAAAAACAGGCCACCTGCAGAGACTATGGAGTTGGTAGCATTGGAGGGTTTTTTAAAAGCTTTCTAAAACTGGGCTATAGCTCTTGAAGAAGGGAAAGGTGAAAAGGAGGTCACAAAATGCTCATGATGGCTGGGAACAGTTAATGGCCTTTAATTTCTGGCAGATATTCAGTCTCTCCACAGTGTGGGAATGGATTTTTACACCTGCTGCCGGTAGTTAGCCATGGAACTAAGTTGCTGCCAGCAATTAGAGATTTTTGTCTGTTCCCTCTTAATATAAATTCTCATCAACGGGAATTACAACTGCCTGTCACTAAGTTAGGGGAGTTGTAGAGAAGAAAAACAATCAGAAGTTTATTGCACAAAAGAAGAAAGATTCCATAAGTTAGTCAAATTTGCAAAAAAGTGTGAGGAATAGTGAGTTAGACAAATTTCTGTAAAAAAGTAACAAATATCTGATCCTGCTTTAGTCAGGGGAAGAGGCTCAGTAGCTGACCCGTGGGGGGGTGTCTCTTCTAACAGTTACAACTCTACTATCGTAATTCTGGATTCTGCTTCTGAAACATGAGGTTGGAGAGATGAAATCTATCCACAGCTGAAGCTTGACCCTCAGCCAAGGCATTTTTCTTCTCCCCACATACCTCTCTTTATCACCCTTTCACCCCAGGCCTGCAGCGCATGGGGTGTAAAGGTGGGCGTTACTGCCTGCAGACCCACCAGCCGCTCAGTCAGCAGGTCAGTGGCCCTTTTGTGGGACTGTAGGCTGGCACAGTAGCTCTGCTCACAGCTTCTCATCACCTCCTCGCTCAGCAGAGCAGGGAACATCACTCTGAAGCTAACACTGCTCTAATCTTGAGTATGGTGCCATTCCTTCTAGTGTTTGGGTTGATTGTTTTAATTAGAGTAAAATTATCACAAGACATGGCATTGCATGAAAGGTGGAGGAAATTCAACCCATTTGCTCAAGCAGGTACCTCCCTTCAGCGCCCAGCTGGGGCCGGGGGTTCCCGTGGTGGGCGGCAGGGCAGGGCCTGGCGGTCTGGGTCTGTCCCACCATCTGAGCTGGGGGACGGGGAGGGAACAGGCCCAGGCTACCAGGCCCTGCCCTGGAGGGCAACAGGCCAGGATGTCAGGCCATGGGTTGACATCAGGATCAGGCCTGATAGCAGAGCCAGGGCTAGATGCAACCCTGGGATGGCCAGGCAAACCTCTCTGCAGTGCTCTCTGGGAGTCTCTCCCCACAGACACCAGAGGAAAGGGGCTGCCTCTGGACGTGCTAACTCTGTCTTGGCCCTGAGCCCCACTGCCAGATCGCCAGGATGGAGGAATGTGCTCCAGACCCTTCTATCTCTTCACTTTTTTATCAGGGTTGGGTTTACTACAGCATCCTGTAGATTTAAGCTATTGCTTCATGTGTGTCTGACGGCTGTGCAGTAAGTAGAGCTGAATGTGCCAGATTTGTATGTATCAAAACATGCCAAATTATATAAAGACAAACTTCTATCCAGGCTCATTTATTCAGTGCCTTTCAAGTAACAGTATCTATTTGAAGTCTTCTGCCTCTGACTGCCTTGCAGGTCTGTACAACTTTTAACTTGATACTTTATGTAGTAGGTTAAAAATCTGTTTCTTTATACTAAGTAGTTTTCAGAGACCATACTAGTTCAGAAGGTAATTGTTTAAGCCACTTACCCCAAGAGAAGCTGAGGATATAATTATTTTATGCTTTATTGTGACAGAAGATTGCTTATTTGTCATCAGAGAGATATTGTGATATCTTAAATCTTTATGTGGCTCATTGATGAAAAAAGCACTCCAATATGCATTGGATTTTGAACATAGTATATGCTTGTATCAGAACTAAAAAGTGGCATTCTTAAGAATGTTTTATACTCATTTAGTTCAATGGTGATTTGAAGGTATATTTTTATTTTTGTTTTTAGTAGCTAAGGATGTCAACATTTTTTTTGATGAGTTAGAAGGTGTGAACAGCCCTTCCAAGGATGATGACTCCCTGCTTCACCATGGTAACTTGACCAGTACTTCTGATGATGCCAGCAGGCTGGAAGTTGCAGGAGAGGTAAGAACACACAGAATTATTATGATAATTATTCATGACCATTATAAAAAGGGAATAAATGTAATTTGATTTAAAATCTCATTCTCTGCAAGTCAACTAGTGTCTGACCTTTCCCATAGGGACTGGCTTTCCATTCTAAGATTATAATGCTAAAATATAAAATATCTGAAGTTAAAAGGTTCTATTGATTTCATGCAGCCCCATTCAAAAGTCTATACAGACTTTCATTGTCTGCTTGTTTTCTGAACCATCCGAGTCTAATGTTTCACTGCTTCTGAAAATAATGAAGTTTTCCCTGTATTAATTCTTTGGGGGGAAGGAGAGAGGAGGAGAATTTATCATAAATCTCTCATAAGAAGCATTGGGTATCAGGTATGTGATGCATTCCATTCCACTGAAGAACAAGTTACCTGATGGTGCATAAAGGTGATTCAGAGAACATACCAGGGAGGAATCATTTAGCACATAGTCCCTTTAAAATTATGTTTTAAAGCAGGCAAAGCATCATGAACCCATGATGAAAATTTGGGCCAAAATTCCTTTTTGTGTCTTTTGTGTAGAAAGGAACATGATAACCCTTTAACTTTGCCTCCAACTGCCCTACAAGCCATGGATGTTTGGGCTATCAGTTTAGGGAGTAAAGAGGAGAGCCCAGGGACTTGTCTTCTTTCCCTCAGCTCAGGAATGCAGCTGCATCCAGACTACTTACTGAAATGGTCTGATGTTACCTGCAAGCTGTGCCTGAGGATTTTTTGGCAGAGGGCTGACTGGCATAGATCAGAACTGGCAGGGACCGTAGTAACAATTAAAAAGCATGGAAAACCATGGGATAGTGCTGAAGCCCTGGCCCTGACCCTGCTTTGTTTACTGGTTTAAATAAAGTTTAGACAATATACAGATTATGTCTTTTTCAAGAAATAGAGGGTTTTGTGGTGCAAGTTCTTTTGTGAAACTGCTGAGGAGTCAGAGATTTTCCCTGTGCTAGCAATTCAGCCCATAGAGAGCTGCACTCCTGGAATGTTTAGACAGATAATTAAAGCGACAAAATTCAGGGCACTCAGGGATATGTTTGACCTTGCTCAAAATGTCATCTTACCCTTCACTCATTGCTCTTCCCATACAACTTAAAGGGCCCTTTTTACCTGCTTGCACTGTAATAGGTTAATCTGACATGATAGTCCTGTGTTACATTTTGGGTTCATGTACCATATGGTCTCTAACAAAAAAGCACAGGTGGACAGCTTTGATTTTTGCGAATTGAAGAGAAAAAATTAACAGAAAATGGTGAGAAGGACAGAGGATGATATAGAGCAACATATGCTGCTGTTAATTTAACGATGCAGCAAAAAACAATACTGCAAGATTTTTTTTCCTCTTTGATGTATTTGTTGTTTTTTAAAGGGAAAGAGAAAATGTCTGAGGAATATCTTCCCAGTTGAACAGATTATCTTCCTTTTTTTGCATAACCTTAGTTAGAGAAAAATAGCAATTTAAGTCATGTTATATGTATAAGAGGGGAAAACAGAAAGTTAAAGGTCCTAATGGGAGCTGAGGGATGCTCTAAACTACAAAAAAAAGTTTCAAGGATTTGTCCTCTGCTTAATTCCAGAAGGAAAAGATACACTGTTTAGATGTTGTAGTTTTTAGGGAGCACAACTATATGGTGGTGGGGTGAACTTTGAAGCTTCAAGGTTCCTTTCAGTCGTTTAGTTTAGTAACTAAGAGAGCCTGTAGATCCCCCTTAATATCATCAGGACAAGGAATCTGGCACCAATGAATCCCTCTGTACAGATGTTTGTTTGGTTTAGTTTTGAAGCTAACATTGCAGAAAAATAATGTTTTCTGGCTGAATTCATCAAAAAGAACTTACAATCAAAAAAAATTACAAGGACATACCAAAGGCTTCTTACCATTTTTGTTTAACTGACAAGTTGAGATATTTTATGCTTCAACTCTTAGTTATTTGTGCTCAAACAGAAGATCCAGTGAAGACTTTACAGATGAAGCATTATCAACAGTTCCTTAACAGATGCAGGGCCAGACTGCGATTCAGCTTGTCCTTCGGCTAAACATGTTTTTTTCTTCTTTGTTTTGTTTCATTCAAACACAGCTACAGTTTGAGCAAATTGAAAATCGTATTTCCCTTTGTGTGCATTGACTGAAATACTTTTTACATATACCAATATAACAATTAGGTATACGCTTTACAATTTAAATCCAGGAACATATTATCACTAAAATATTGTGTTACTTCTACTGAAGTTTCATTTTCTGAGAACTGTACTAGCAGCGAAAAGGAAGAATTGTTTAGTACCTGTATTCTGGGTATGCATTCACTCTGCCTCTCTTGCTATGGAGTAATAAATCTGTCTTTATCCAAACAAGGGAAAGTGGTGGAACTTGAGCAAAAGTTGACTTCTACTTAAGTAAGTTTATATGGCCTATTCTTGACATTCCAGCTAATGTAGATAGTTCTGAAATTTCAAATTGTAAGAGTCATTCCTACAGTCTTCACTTTAAGCATCAAAGTCTTGATATTTGGGGGGGACAGTGTTATTAACACTGTGCAGAATAGAGTTTGTTTTAACAATTGCTTTTATAAATTAGAACTTGCACTGAAGATTATGGCAGAGAAAAGGTATTCATATTGCAAAATAAGAATTCTGATGTTCTTTATGGCTCTTATGATAGCTTGTGCAATTTCAGTTAAGTTTTCTTGTGTGCATTTACCAGAATACAAGCTGATTACATAATTTTTTCCCACCAAATCCCTGTTGTCTTCAATGATCAGGATGGATATAGAAAGAGATTATCTAAGCTTTTGGAGAAAACTACAGATCTGTTACTTCATAACCTTTGAGCACTTGATTTTGCAGACTAGATGATTTCATTTTTAGAAAAGATCCATGTAATTAAATGTGTTGTGGTGTCAAGAAGAATAAGTTGCAGCTTCCACAAAATATAATCTAAATGGGCAAAAGGATATTAATAAAAAAGAACACACAGAGAAAATTTACTTGTTCTTTGATTAAAATGGTGCCTTAAACTGGGTGTTTCTGCATAAGTTCATAAATTATCACTGTTAGTGGTGCAGGTATTAACCCCCTTCACCAGCTGTGAAGTTGCATGCAGGGAACTCCACTAGCCACAAACAACAGGAAAAGACAATCTCTTTAGAATTCAAAGATCCTATGTTCCATGAGCTTCCAGCATCCATTCTGATAATAACCAGGAACCAAAATAATTAGGAATGAAGAAAGAATCTAATCTATCATTAAAGTAAACAGTGGAGTCCCTTCTGATGTATTTTTTTAGACCTGCAGGTAAAGTTTCAAATTTCCTTGGTTTTCCTAACTGCATTTTCATTTAAATGTTCCATTTAATGTCTCTATAGCTGTTAGGGTTACAAATACTCTCATTTTGGATAGTGAAGCATTTAGGTAAGCCATTTAGCCTAAAGCTATCGTTGCATGTATGTATGAGTCATATGTCTGTGTATGCTGATGACTCCCAATTGTGGGTCTAAAAATATGAAAACTACTTCATTCCTTGGAAAAGAATTCCCAATTATACAAGTTCAGATATGACTATTACAAATAAAGCTGCAAAGATAGACAGAAATGCTAAACTTATTGCTAGAGTATGAAGATATAACACAGAGAAAGAAGATGCAATGTGTGGAGAAGGGTCAGCAAAGTTCAAGGTAGGAGAAAAGTCTGTCTAGAATAGTATGAGCCTGGAATACTGTCAACAGTGCAAAAGCCCTGCAGTTGCTATTTTCTGACACTGCTGGGTCAGCCCTCACTTTCTCCTTACCAGGTTAGATCCTCAGTTCTTGTAGGTCTAGGCTCAGTCTTTTAAGCCTCCTTACAGGCTATAACAGAGCAACAGAAAGGGTTCCTTCTCACAGACCCTACCAGTCTAGTAGGTTTTATCAGTCTGGATTTGACATACTGTGTTCCTAAAATGAAAAGGACCTCTGAGTACAGATAAGGGTGTCCAAGCTGCTCTTCTGAGCAAAAATTTACAATACTGTAGTCAGTGTTTCACAAGTCCAAGAGAAAAAGTAGTTGTCTTAGGAAGGCATTTTTATAGGGGAGTCTAAATCTCATGGTCTTTCTTTAATATAAGGTTCTACATGCACTGATAAGTCAGTGTAGGGCAAACCAATTTTTAACTTTTTAGTTCAATCAGGAGTGTACATTTGAAGTGAATCTCTCAATTGCCCCTACCCATGCTTTCTTTGCATTCCAAAGCAGTGTTGGACTTCAAACATGGATTCCTTCTGGATACAAATTGCGAGATATCCAGAAGACTCACTGGAGTACCAGACTATAGGGGTGTCACGTTCTGCTCCAACGAGGGGGACAATTCTCAGCTCTCACAAGGGGGCCCAAAGTGGGCCCTCAAGCCTACATAGTAGACAGCAGATCATCAGCATAGATTGTTTTGCTTTACATATTCTTTCCTATTTCACTGCTTTACTTGCTAAAATAGACATAGTGACTCTGGGACCTACAGAACAGGAAGGATGGCTTGTCAGGAAGCTTAGAAATCAGAGCAGGGCCACTAAGCTGACCCTCTAAATCACCTGCTGCACCCTTTCTTTATTCAAATAACCTTAAATAGCCTTTTGAGTTCTGTTACATCTTCTCGACATGGGTTTTTTATGGAAAAAAAAAAATAAACTGTGCTTCCTGAGCTGTTTTCATATTTAATGCTCTGTGAAAACTACTTCTGATATCTTGATAACATCATTTGTCAGCATGATATGCAGTATAGATATAAATGATTTGTTACTGTTATTTCCTTAGGGCTTAAATCTTTTTTCTTGCCTTCTTTTTCAGCTCAAAGAACTTTTCCACTATATCAAGTCTGCATTAAGCTGTGTCAGGAGCCAGGCGCTGTAATAAAAAAATCTTAGAAAAATTCCCCTTTCTGCTTTCAGTAAACTAAATGTCCCATCCCCTTAGTACATTTGGGATGCTTTCATTGTTTTTTCCATTTAATCAAAAATGTGTGCTGAAAGTCAGGAAGATAGTTTACACTAAACTCTTTGATTGGGAATATTGGGCTTTTTTTTGTCTGTAAGGTTAATTTTTCCTATTACTATGATCACTTTTTTGTGATTAAAATTCAGCAGCAGTCCTCCTATGTAGAAAATACTATGAAAATTCTCTACTTTTCCCAGATGTGAAGGGCAAAATACTCATTTTCTTGAGAGATTTGATCATATTCTATAGGGCATGACTATTTCTGGAAGTAATGGTTGAGCAAATTCTGGAAAAACAGGAAGAAATTAGCCTAAACCTCCCTTCAGCTTGGGGCTGGACTGATATTGAGGTCACTAAAAGTCCCTGTTCATTATACTGCTCTGAGGGAGTGCTGTTTGTTCTCATATATCATTTACAGTGTACATTTTTTGTACAAAACACTCCAACCTGCAAACTGCCACAAAATTTCAACTTGTCTGAAAGTGAAAGCTTAACCCCTAGGCAGGATTTGTATTACATGGAAGTAGTGTTAAATTGCGAGGAGGATCTGTAGAGAGTTTCATCTCCTGAATTTCTGCAAAAAAAACAGCAGTTTGATTTTTCAGCTCTCAGGAGAGGGACCTGCTTGACCTCTTATTAACAGTGAAATCAGTTTGTTTCTTTCTGTCAGAGCAAACATTTAAGCAGGTATGTTCTTTGCAGGAAATAGCCAAGAAACAGTATTTATTGAATTTAGGTACTGCTAGACTAAACACCAGGAACTATTTTCAAATAAATCCACTGGGTTTCCTCAGCTGTTTCTTAAGGAAAGAATATTTTATAGTTAGTCTGATCAGGCATGGTGAGGTAGGTACAGAACCTTCATATTGTTGACTGTGTCCTATGAGACAGAGGTACTAGAGTCATTGCAAAGCAATGAGAATCTCTGCACCATGTTTCAGTTGTTCTTGCTGCAGTAAATGCTCATGTCACTGTTTATTCTTCTCACATGTACAGACATTCTACCATACTAAGTTCTTAATTTTAAATTTACACTTCACTAACACTATTCTCTGCTTTATTTTATATGTAAGAAGTTATTCCTAATTTTGTGGAGGGTGGTGGGGGAGGAAAGTTGGCTTGTGTTCTCTATTCTCTCCTATCCCATGCATATATGATCAAACACCTGCCTAAGATGACCTCCTGGTTTTGAGGTGGGGAAGTCTGTACTACTTTCAGGTAACCTCAGAGCCACTGTACGTAAAGCAGCTAAAAACTTGAACAGCTTGTTCTGATTCCTTATCTTTCCTGTTGAGTATTACTGAAAACTGATGATGCAAACAGCAATGCAGCAATTACCAAGGCAAATTAATGTTACTAAAATGTTTGGCTTTCTCTTTACAGGAAGTACGTGATAAGAGCAAAACCAATGGACTATATTTTAGAGATGGGAAATGTCGGATTGACTACATCCTGGTGTATAGAAAATCCAATCCACAGACAGAAAAGAGGGAAGTATTTGAGAGAAATATCAGAGCAGAAGGACTTCAAATGGAAAAAGAGGTAAGAGCTTCCGTGAAAAAAACTTTCAACATATAAAGCTGTGTAGTCTGAGGGTATGTTTTGTTTACTCTGAAACCCCTTTACTCTGTAACAGTGGAAAAATGCTTTTAAATATACCTAAATATAGGGTCTTTACTGCCCGAGCAGTGGGAAAGTGTAGCCCAAAGAAAAATCAGATGCATGGATTGAAGGCCAAAACAGTCCATTACAGTCATCTTTTTCAACCTTATGCACAAGTAGGCCACAATTTCATCCACTGTGCTGTGCAGTAGAGAAAACAAGTGCTGGCTTTGGATGGCCTTAATTCTACTGAGTGCGATCCACATTTCCTCTTAGCTGCCTGCTCTACTCTTTGCTGAGGCTCTTGGTACTCTTTCCAGAGACCTAACTAGACCCCGCCTTCATTTTCCTGCCAGCTTAGGCATAGGGATGTGAGCGGTATTTTGGTAGTTTGAAAACAGCCTGAAGTCTCTCCTGTATTAGTCCTAAACATTGAAATAGTTGGACAGTATATATGAATCATTTATACCAATGTTATTTCCAACAAAATGTCCTAAAACAGTGAATCTTCTCTGGACAGGAATGCGAAAATTAATGTACAGTCTCTAAAAATGTATTTATGTGATATGTAGCGGGAGCAAGGCTTAGAGACGTCTCTCTTGCCTAGGCTATGTTCTTAAACTTTCACAAGTGTACTTAAACAGGGATTAAATCTCACTTCTGTGCGGAATAGATATTGCTGGACATCTAGCTTTACTTATGCTTGCTCATATGGTAATATGCATTGTCATGCTGCCACTGATGGAAATGATAGAGGGATTTTTCAGGTTACAGGTTTTGGTCGGTTATGTAGGTTACGTGCCTCTGTGCTTGAAAGGCACACTTCTTTGGAGAATACTGGGGAGGAAAAAGTGGGAGATGTTTCTCTCTAGAATAATGAAAATGTTTCCTTTCTTTACATGTTTTTGAATTAACACAGGTACTGGTGGATGTCAGTGTATAAGAGTATATCACTGGTTACATCAGCCAGTTACCATAAACTATTCCTTCAAATAACCTGAAAGATAGCATCTTTAGTGCTGCAGCAGTTGATACATGTTTTCAGTGACAGCTGTTTTTCATTTATTACATGTTTCCTGTAAACATACCACTGTCTATAGGAGTTGTATGCCAACATCCAAGAACATGAGAGTGTTGCTGCAGCAATTCAGCTTCACATCCTAGAATTCTGCCCTGCTTCCACCAGGAGAGATGCTGAAGAAGTCTCTGAAGTTTAGGCAGTGTAGGAAATGAATGTGGAATTAATCCTCTCTATTGATATATCTGCCCAGTGGTTTCGAACCAATCTTTTCCTACTTTGTGATTTTTTGCAGATTTATTACTGTGCTAAAGTCAGCAGTGAAAGCTATGAAATCACTTAATATTTTAAATATTATGAAACTTATTGCAACATTATTCACAGAAAACTTTCCAAATTGTTGATTTAAGTGCTTACTATAGAATTTTCTTGTGGCTTTCAAGCCCATTTATTTGGACTTTGCTGCTTACACTGCATGAATGTTCTACCAATTTGATTATTCATTTCAGTTTCTATTATGCTACTGACATGCAGTGTTATTTCTTATTAATCTCATTTGGCCTTGGTGTGACTTCTTGCCAGCATCAGTAATTGCACATTTTCTATCACAGCTGGATAAGGTGTAAACACATCTCAGAATGATCAAAATGTGGTTGTGTTACATGACTCAGGCTAATGTTTTTAAAATCTAGGGTAGCAATCTTTTTTAACATGACTCTGACCTAAAATGAAACCCTAGCATGTTTATTTTATGATCATGTTAGTTTCTAAATTGAATTATAATCCTGAAGGAAACCAAGTACATTCTTGGTACACTCCTTCCCTGTCCCTGCAGAATAGCAGCTCTACTGCATAACACTTAGGTTTAAACTGAGTGGTGTGATTGGTTAATGACTAGATTTCTTATTATTTTTACTTCTCCTTTGGGTGAGGCTACACATCATTCTTGGTTTCAATTCTGGAAGATTTTAACAGCAGGTCTGTTTTCTAGTTGTTCGTATATATCTTGCTTCCACTGGGGAAAGTTTGCTCCCAGATAAAATGAGAGAATTGGCTGTGGCTTTGGCCACAGAACTTAATACAGAGTCACCAGGCTGTAACAGATGGACTGAAAGAAACTTCCTACCTTCCATGACTTTTGTGTGATTGCTGGTTCATTCTCCTTTGACTACTCACTGTTCATATATTGACATTCAATTGTATTAGTCTTGTCTTTTTAATGTGAAATCGGTGTCAGAAAGGAAAACTTATAGAGCTGTTCACAGTGCAGTTTCAAAACCATATTCCTTGGTAACACTGCAGAGAGAGGAAAAAGGCACTGCAGTGGCTCGCTGACAAGTGTAGCACAGCAAAATACCCAGGAAATGGAGAGTGCAGGGAGCGAAGTGCTCACTTAACAGTATGAAATGAGAAAGCGAATCTGAAATGAATTCATAAATGTTGATATAACTTCAGGCACAATGTCAAGATCATGTAGCTGAGAAAGGTCTGAACAGGTGTATGTTTCTGACTCTAGAAAAAGGTGGTAACGTTTTGCAGATATTCCCCAGTGAATTCACACTCATGTTCTTTGGCTATACCACACCACTCTCCCATGGAAGTTCTGCCAAATTTGGTGCTCTGTATATCCAGTAGTAAACAATGAGGGGATCCCAGACCAAAGAACACTTGCTACTACTGTCCACATTCTGAGGGCATGTTTCATATTTATCCAAATACAAGATAAACAAGAGACTAAGATCAGCCCACCAACACTCAGAAAAAGGTAACTTATTACTTTTATGTAAAGAGAAAATACAGATAGTGTCTGTCATTCCAAATACAGTGTTCATCCCTCTGGGACAGTAAAAACCCAGCATTTTGCTTGAAAACCTATCTTTTTAAGAGGGAATGAAGAGTCAGAATTACATTGGGCCTGTGGTATTTTTCACAAGAATAAAGATTTATATATTCAATCTCTTGGCCAAAATCCAGCTAAATTCCCTTATCCCAAATTATTCCTGCAGCTTCCATTAATGTATTTAATCCCTGTCCTAAAAGGCCAGGTAGAACTAAGTTGCTGTAAACAGTAACTACACAGTGCTGGTACATGGATATGGTATTACAGACATCTTTCAGTAAGGTGCTTTAACTTGTACTACTTTAGAAGCATGCAGAGGTAGCCAGCGTGAAGCAGCTAACATACATAACTTGTTCACTTGCAACCCATTTAAGCTGGACTGTAATGCAGTGCAAATGTAGGGTAGAGGTAAGGTAGTTCAGAGAAATCTGTGCTGGATGAACAAACAGAGAACCCTTGGATTTGTAATTTGTAAAAGAAAAGAAGGTGTTAGATCTATGTAAATACTGTGTGACCATAATGGATCTGATGTTGTGTAGGATCTGGTCATGTAGCCCTAGGAATAGACTTCATTTAGTTTGAACTTGGTATGGGTTTGGGGTTTTTTTGCTTCTTATGACTACATTAACCTAATTCATACAGAGTGTTTCTGCTACTAATGTGCTTGATACATTTTGCTTAATGATTGTGTCCCAAGTTTTTAATTTGTAAGTTCATTTGATACAGTATATCTGAAAAGACATTTGACATACCAGTAGAAATTGGTAGATAGAACTGTAGTAAAGAGGAACTAATCATATAAATAGTGAAAGTAGTATTCAGACCCTTTATATATTTTGCATTTTTATGTATAGTAATGTTTCAGTATAAAAGCAATGAACTGCTTTAAAGCAGTAACATCCCTTACTGCCTTAAAAAGCAGGTCTTCTCACAGCTGCTGGATGCAGAATATGTTTCAGGAACTAGTTTTAGGTATTTTTAAAATATCAGTCCATTTGAACTTCTGCCCACACACTGATCTTTGCATCTCCCAGATAAAAATGTAGTGTAGTGTACTGGTCCAGATTTCAGGAACTATCTAAATTGAGTGGGTTTTGTGTTACATGCCCGATTAAAAATTTAAACATTGTCACCATAAGTGTCAAGCTGTCACCAGGGCATCTCTAATTGCATTTGCTACCTGCCTCAAGCAGCAGCTGACATTTCTGGGACAACATCTGGCAGTTGATATGCAGCTGGTGTATACAGTAGGCAGTAGAAATATACAGTAAGTGTTCTCTGGAGGGGGGGGGGGGAAGCACAGTATAAACTTCACTTTTAGTTTATGAACAAGTATCTACTAGCAGGTATAAACTTAGTCTGAAAGTTATGTTAATCTAAATCTGAAAGTTACGTTTAGAGATCTATTTCAGTAGTTGATGCAATATAATAGCAGGATACTATTATTTCATGATTTTTTCGAGTTTGCAAGCAGATGTAGATAAATTCATGGCAAGGTATTAGGAGTTCTACACAGCAGTTTTTCTTTATGTGCCTGTACTTTTTGTAACTAATGGCACAGGACTTTAGAGGCTTGAAATGCATATTCAGTAAGAGACTTGTATTTAGCAGCAACTTGGAGCCTGGTTTACAATGATGAAAGTTGAGAGGAATTACAGGTGACGGAAAGAGCACACAGTATAGTATCTCTGTGACTCTTAGCTCATCCCTGAGTGTAAAACCAAAATAGACTTATGACCATGTCAAAGTGAGATAAAAGAAATAAAGAATAAGTATGAGAAAAACAAGAACATCAGAGTTGGAAACCTTAAATATAGTTGTGATCAGAAAGTGATGATGTGAAAGAGACATTATAATCCACAGCTATTGCTCCTGAGCATAGTCAAATATTATAATCTACTACTTCTTGGTGGTGTTAATACTGCAGAGCCAAAACAGTTATGTGAGACTCATCTGCTTTTTTTTCTGGTTTGTGCGTCATCACTGCAATTGTTCATGAGACTTTTGTTATGTAAACATTATTGCTGATTGTGATTCATGGGCAGCAATGAATTAAGCTGACTTCCATACCTCAAGTGGCAT